AACAATCGTGTCGTGGCGAAGCACTCTTTCGTGGCTCTAAAGACTCCTACACGTCTCATTTCCTCGAGGATTGTCGCGTCGTCTTCCTCGACGTCCGTCGTCGCCGCCGAGGAGGAGCAACGATTGACCGAATCGAACGTCACTACCTCCTCGATTCGCAACACGGAACTAGACGCGACGTAGTTGACCGCGTACTCGATCAGGTCGCGCAGGCTCTGTCTTGTCTCGTTCCTCATTCTTCGCATAACAGTGCACTGGCCACTCGGGTCGTCGGTCTCCGTGGGCAGCGCGCGATATCCGCGAGAATAGGCGTAAGAAAGAAGAGCGCCGGACGAGGATATGCCGGCCATCTTCGCCGCAGAGTTGTACGCCTGAATAAAAGTTATTTGGTGACGTGCCACGACAACGTTGTCGTCACAGTCGTCATCGTCGTCGCTGGGCTGTACTGGTAGCGATTGATGACAGGCAAAGTGCCCGTGGTTGCGATCGAAGCCGACGTAGTAGCGCTTCAGCTTGTAATCTCCAAGCTTTACGCCACCTCGAAAAATACCGGACAACCGTTGGTCCATTAATTTTACGACGATCGGCTCGTCGTCGCTGGCGCTGCGTAGTTGCAACTCGTTTGCGCAATGAATTTGCATAATATCAACGTGCTTGTGATTCACGTCCAACAGGTTCAACAGATAGCGCTCAGCATTCTCGCCGCCCATGCGCAGGCCGTGGTCGCACGTATAAAAACGCGCGTACGCCATGCCGCACGTAACCTCGAGGTCCGTTTCTCCCAGCACATAGGTGACGAGTCTCGCGAACAAATCCCAATCCCGGGAGTTAATGGAATATACCCGTTGAACATCATTCTCGACGTACCTAATTCCCACCCTGGCCGTCTGGCATTGGATGGGTAATCGTTCAGCCGCGACACTGATGACATGCGTCATAAAAACCCTGCACACTGCGCGATAGTGACCCTCTTTACTAGCGGCGCCGCGGCCGCGACCACCGCGCGGCGGCGGAATTTGAGCTTCTCGAAAGAACTCGCTGTCGAGACTGGTCGTTTGGAACGCAACGAAGATTGGCTGTTTGTCGACTGTTCCGATACAGAATTCGTGCCAATTGTTTCGATCGTTGGTCGCGTCGTCGTGCAGCAAAATGTCGTCGGGGCGGCGCCGCTGCACAGGAAATAATCGGTCTCTGTTCACCAGGACATCCGTCAATTTAACGTTTTCACATTTCACTATCGATTTCGGACTCATGTCGATTTTAGCCAAACTATAGCACCTGTACGGCTCCAACGAACGACAGCAAGTCAGTATTGAATCCACGTCGTAGCTGATCTCTATGTCGTCAGCGCTGACCACGTGCATTTCTAATTCATTCCTGGAAGGAAAAGAGGCACTGCGACCACGACGACGAGTTATCTCCATTGTATCTGGTGCGTCCT